AGAATTCCTAATGCAAAAAGACTTCTCAACCCAATTGAAATAAGACCCATTCTAAATAACAGCACATTATTCTATGTCTGTCTTATTATTTTTCTCATCACATATCCTATTGCATCCCCTATGTCTTACCCCACATACTCACACAGCATTTGTGCTCTTATTCACATATCCCATACATATTTCTTTCCTAAGGTACTGCCGAAATTACTACAAATTTGGAGACTTAAAGCATAGAAATTCATTTTTCAATAATTCTGGAGGTCAGAAGTCCAAAGTCACAGTGTCAACAGGATGGAATACACTGGAGTCTCTGAGCAAGAATACTTGCTTTGCTTCTTCCAGCTTCATTAAGTTCTGAAGTTTGTGGTGCATTCATTATCATCACATGGTCTCCTCTTTTTCTATGTATCTATGCCAAACCTTCTTCTGCCTTTTTCTTATAAGAAGACTTTCCATTACATCCCACCAAATAATCCAAAATTGTGTCAAATGCAGATATTCAAGAATATCTACAAAAGAATCTTCCAAATAAGGTCACAGTCATAGTTTGAAGACTTAAAATGGGCACACATATTTTAGGGCAGCAAAATTCAGTATGCCAGAACATATAGAACATGCTTTCATTTCAGGGAGAGCATTGCTTTTTCTGCTTTCTCTGCCTGAAGCTCTCTGTTCCCATAAATGTAAATAGTTCAATCCTTCACATTGCTTAGGTCTTTGCTCTCATTTTACTTCTCTGGGAAGACTTCCTAGAGCACATTATTTAGAACAGCAATCTACTTGCTGCAACCCATTAACATCTGAAAGCCTCCTTCTTGTATTATTTTTTTCTATAGAGTACATATTATCATATGACATATTATATTTTCATTACTTTTTCTGTCTCTGTCCATGAATATGTAATTTCCACAAGGATATAGATTGTTATTTGTTTTTGTTGTTGTTGTTGTCAGCACCCAGAAGAATGACTAGGCGGGAACATAGTTGGCAATCAATAAGTACTATTTGAATGAACTTAAAAATATGAAGATTGAAAACATAAAACAATGGTTGAGAAATATGAAGGCATCAGAGTTAAAGAAAAATGACAATCTTTCCCATAAACAACAATGTATAGATTAAGTATCTGATTGTTAAAAAGTGAATCTAAATTCCCAGCTCACCCTGTCTACAAATACCAATTTCAAACAGACTACAAGTTTTAATGATGTGATGGTTGATTTACTATGTCAACTGGAGTAAGAGAAGCTCAACTAAATTGACTCAGCAATTCCACACCCTAGGGAGGGCACGACCTAACTTAGGGTGGGTAGTATAAAGGGGAAGTGAAGATGGACGGATATGTTTTTGTTTCTTCAAGAAAATCCAGGCTTTGTCTTCAACTTGCATGTCATCTTCTGGTTTCCAGATTAATTAGCCCACTATCCTTTAATCTCAGTCTCAGAGAAAGTCTATAGACATGAGAAAAATGCAGAACAACTTTTTTCCAAGGCATAACATATATCATTGTGTTGGACTCCATTGACTGGAGTCCAACAGCCAACGCAATCCTTCTCCCCAGCAGAAACCCCCCAGCCTTGGTCTTTACCAGCATCATTTCTGTCAACATTCTGGTCTTGTGAGTTCTGACTAGAGCCTCTCACCAAATACATGGTGAGAGGTGTTCCAGTTCTACGTTTTCAGCTGACATCTCCAAACCATTCCAAATTCTTCCCACAAGTCAGCTCCAAAGGCTCCTAAACCACATGGTTAGGTACACACACATCAACAACCCCACTTCTGGTACCTAATTCTGTTTTGGTTGCTTTTCTTGTTGCTGAGATAAAATACCAAACACTAACAAGTTAAGGGAAGCCAGGTTTATTTAGCTCACAGTAGTAGAGGTTTCAGTCCATAATCAGCTAGCTCCAAGCTAGGGTGAGATAGCAGACAGGCATTGCAGAGGAGAAACAGTTCATGGCAGGCAGAAGGTAGTAAATCAAAAATGGTCAACCATAGTTCTTTCTACCCCTTATATCTTATCCAGGCTACTTAAGACAGGTAGCAGTCACCCCCTTAATCCTAGTGCCCTTGATCCCCGCTTTTCACCATGAATCAACCCTAGTTCACACATTCTAGATCCAGCCACCTCTGAAAAGACCCTACCTATGACTGCATGAAACTTTGTGGGGACATCTAGACACAAGCCATAACAAGCTGGAATCATGATATACTGCTGGTCAAAATGTAAATTGAGGCACAGTCTTTAGACAAGTGTCCAGAAATATTTCCCAGAGCTTAATATATATTCAATAATTTCACACTTTTATATCCATATTCAATAAAAATGTGTACATAAACTCACTAGATGATATGTTAAAAATGTTCAAAGCAGAACTATTTGCAACAGTAGACTTAAATGAAATGCTCATCAGCACACTACTGTACAATAAAGAACACATTTCTAATTAATACACCATTGATGAGTCTCACAAATAAAAGGTAAATAAAAGAAGCCAGATACAGAGTAGATTCTCTATAAACTCATTTATACAAAGCTCAAAACATACAAATCTAACATATAGTTAGGAATCAGGATAATGTTCATGACTAACTAAAAGAGTTCCAAAGAGGGCTTCAAGGTTATGTTCAATGTCTTGATTGGTTCTAGAAATAGAAACGTGCTAACTATATGATCATTCAGCCAGCTGCAGCCTAATTTCTAAACTTTTTGTATGAGTATTATATTATGCCTCTAAAGTTTATTCTTCTTAATCTCCACCAATCTTGCCACTATCATACCAAGTCTTTTCTCTGTCATCCCACCATATATGGAGAGAGTCTGTTTTTCAGTAGGTTCCATGTGTCATGTAAAGTGTTAGCACAGAAAATTCATGAGTTGAAAGAAATGCTGAATCAATCCAGGTTTTACCAAGTTTTATAGAATGTCTCGCAATGTTCCAACTGATCCCAAGGATCTCTCTGCACTCTGAACAAATTGGGGAAAGAAAATATTTAATACTATGATTTTAAAAATAGTTTAGTACCTGTTCTGTGAACTGAAAGTACATGCTAAGAGACCAAACTAGAGTGAGCATATGCTGTTATTTGTGTACTTCGCACAGCAGCCTTATATGCAAACAGTATCATGAACCTGAAAAACTCCAAGTTCAAGTTCTGATAGTTTTACTGTGGTTAGATTTCCTTCTCCATATTGTCATTGTATTTTAAATGTTCTTTCTCCTTGTCAAGCTCTGCTGCTCTGTCTTCTACCTTTTTAATGCTTGTGACAATTACACAATAACGGCTCTCATTATTATCTTATTATTTCCCTGAGCTGGAGCTGCTTCAGGGTGACCCTGAGGAAAGACTGTGGTGAGGTTTCATTTCCATTATCACTTCCACACTTATTATATCACTGAGGATAGTTGAGTGAAGCTTTAGTGATATTAATGGCTCTGAAAAGGAATTGAAAACCCTCCTCTTTTTCTCTGTATTATCAAATAACTAATGTTGATGTTAATAAAGTTGAAAATTAAATTATTTTTATAGATGGGGGAGAGTTGTTGATTCTTTGATTATAATTGACATGTTTGATTTATATAGGTTTCTAGAAAAAAACTCAAGATGTAAGTTAAAGTCACATTCTCAGAAAAATACATTAAAAGTTTTGAGCAAGTTTTATTTTGCTCAGGAATTAGTGGAAAAATAACATCCAGAGCATATTATGAAGTTTCAGGAAGGTATGAATAAATGATAATGATAGTGGTGGTATTAATAAGTTAAATCATTTATCCTTTAATATTCTGATGCATTAATAAATGCAATTATCACATAATCCCAATGAAGATATTATAATTTTCCTTTTTGTCTTGATAAGAAAACTGAGGCACAGAAATTTAACTTCCTTCAAAGCCATATAACTAGAACATGTTGGAATGTGTACTAAGTGCCAGAGCCATTGTGAACATTTAAGGAAATCAATTAGCTTTATGGGAAGACAAATTGTAATTGGAGTCCATAGTATAAAATTATGATAAAACATTTTTAATGACATTCAATTTATTTCCAAAATGCTACATGCCCTTTTAAAGAAATAACAGAATATAACATTGTGAGATGTTTCTGAAAATTCTGTGAAATAACAAAAAAATAGCTCAGTATCAAAGGATTTGTTTTATTCTCTCATAATCAAAGTGATATCATAATGACTATTTAAATTAGTGTTAAGTGTTTATCTGAGCAAGTCATTTTGTTATATTAAGGGAGGGATCTAAATCTGAACATAGAAAGATAAATGATTGATTCTTTGTGTTCTGTGCTAAAGAACATTTAATACCTGCTGACATAAACCTACCCAGATTTTGTAAGGAATTTAAAGAATTTTTTAAGTAATCTCATGACAAGTACTTCCCATTAAGTGTGAGTAAGGTGATGACTCAGGAGTAAATGATGAGGATATTGGGAAATGCAGACACATCAGCAGCTGGCACTGACCAATACAGCATGAAGACTGGAACTATGTTTGTCAGCAGTTTGTGTAATGCATTAGTCATACCACCGTGTCAGAGAGCAAGAGATTTTGGAGTTCTGCATCACAGGAAGAAAAATTACTAAATGTTTCAATCTTCAAAGGAGTATATTTTATAGATACAGGTATTAGCACAGCATTTGAACAAATTAGAAAATATATGTGTATGTTGTTTATTAGACACAGAAGGAAAATCTTTAACAATACTTTACAATAGTTCCAAAGACCATGACACTTTCTGTCAGATGCTTTTTATTGATAGTAACACTAAACCAAGAAAAAGCAATGACAAAAACCCTTTATAATTTATAAGATTATGACACAGCTATGTTGATAAGAAATGCCAGCCTTAATACTCTCCTCTTCCTCTCCCTCCTTCCTTTTCCTCTTCAGGTAAGGACATTGAGGCTTTAAAGTTTGGATCATATAGAACAGTTCTTGAAGGAGATGCTCCAATGTAACTTCATCCTAATATTCCTTTTTTTCCTAGGTTTCCACTTGTTCTGTGACCACTTACCCACCAAGACAATGACTGTTCCAAATGACTCATTCGTGCCTGAGCATTAGCGAGTGGCAACCTACAAACTGTTCTCCTGATGCTGCAACTTTTCGAGTTTCCTCAGCAAAGTAGGTTGTACTTGGAATAATTAAATTAGAAAGTTTATCCTCATGAGTTTTCCCTCTTTTTTTTTTGGTATGGGGATCGAACTCGGGTCCTTGCTCTTGCGCAGCAGGCAGCAAAACCACTGAGCTAAATCCCCGGCCCCAGTTTTCCCTCTTTTTAAAAACATTTAATGCATCTCATTTGGCCCCCAGATTTTTACCTAGTTTTTCTCAGTAGGTACAAATTACCTAATGATAAATAGCCTCCAATTATAGTTCTTGCCACACTGTTCATGTATATAAAATACCTCTACACACACATAACCACAAACACACCACTTGAACATAGTCAGTCCTGAAACTGTTGCAGTGTAGACTTCTAGCATGCTAAGCCAGTAGAGCAGAGATGACTAACTTCATTCAATAAAATTTTAGCAGCACTAGGCACTATGCCTAATCCCAGTCATCCTAGTAGCTCCCAGAGTAATCAAGACTAAAATTTAATGTAACTACTTACACAGCAGAAATATGGAAATATCTGGTTAGAAACAAATAATACTTCTTATTATGATTATTTTGATTATCACGTGGCATAGATGTTGACCCTCATGACTAAGACTTCACAAGAGGAATGAGTAGGAGTGAATTCTAGCCAGAAGGAAAAATATGTGTAAAGACATAGAGACATAAACTATGGTGGCCTAGCCCAGCATCAGCAAGATACATCATATCATGAAAGTATGTAGTACATAAGATTTCCCATTGAAACTGGAACTATCAATTAGATTTAAGCCAGATCCTGAAGGATCCTTTCCCATAGGCAACGTAGTTATTAAGCAAGTATCTATGGTAACTGTCTTGATATTTTAGCACAAATATTCAGTGGTAATAAAAGTCAGAAATAAGAAAGTTCCAGTGCACAAGTAGAGGTAACTCAAATGAGAGAGTGAAATTGGCCAAGTATCTTATTTATTAAAGTATCTTCTTTATCATGTTGAAAGAAGATTCAGAAATTTACATTGATTCTCATATTTTAGGCTTATTGGGTAGGCCATGGCACAACAAAAGAAGGGGAAAGAAAGAAGCAATGTATATGGGATGATGCTTCTTGAATATTGTAAATTTTGACTTTGCGTAATTTGTGAAAATCCAAGCAGATTTATCTAATAGGAAATTAAAATACCATGACTCTTCTCATCCCTACTTGGATTGTATCAAGTCAGGTAAGAAGTGGATGAACTGTAGTTAGCCAGTGCAGAAAATAAAATAGTAATGCATGAAAAATCTAAAGTCACTGTTTTCCTTCACACTTATAAATTTATAAATTATATCTTTTCCTTCCTTTTTCAATGTGTTTTCCAATTTTCACCTCTCTGACCATAATAATCACCCAAATATTTCCTTCACCAATATTTTCTCCTGCAGCCCACTATCTCTTGTTTCCTCCTCAATAGGAATCAAGCTCTTGTTCCACACATAGTTTCCTGGACAGGCAATCAATCACTTAAAAGAAGAGCATTTAGGAGGAATTAACGATCCCTGCCAACCTCTCTCAGAAAAGGTTGCTAATATAAGGCAATTTGAAATTGATAAAATTTAAGCAGTTAAAAGGTTACCTTTGGGGCCAAAGAAGTCTTTTTTCACACACACTAAAATATTATCAAGAGAAGTCAAGCAAGGATGAGAATTTTTCGGTAAGACAAATGATATTTCAATTAGAAAATTAATTTAGAAGAAAATGACATAAAGGTAAAGAAATAAAAAGGAAATGAACTAAATCATAATCCAATTATGATTCAGTTACTAATTCTTCCATGAAAGAGATAAAGGTAAATGCATATTTGCTATGATGATGTGATTAAGAATTACTCTTACAATATTCCTGGTGAGGGAATAGGGACAGAATGACAGACTTTCGTGTAAAATAAGTTTTCTATATGAAATGAACAAAGTTTTGTTCATAATTTACAAATTATCTGCCTCATAACTAATTTTAAAAAGATAAATTTAAATCAGTTTAAACATTAGGAAGACATTAAGGTATCAAGCCCCAGCAAAAGAGTATTTGATAAATACTGATAGGGTATCACTTGCACAAATCTCATGTTTGTGTGGGGTTTTTTTAATTTATTAAGTTTATTGGTATATTTTAGGTATACATTATGATGACATTCATCACTGGGAATTTGTACCTTTATATGATGTGTCTTGGTTCTTATTTTTCCCCCTTCCCCTGCCCTCTCTTCAACCCCTCCACCCCTCCCTATTTATAAAGAGTTTGTTTCTGTTTTTTCCTTTTCTCGTATTATTTCCTTTCCCTTCTTTCCTTTCCCCTACCCCTCTCAGTTCCCCTTCCCCTTTAGACTTTTTCTTCCTATTTCACATTGTCTGTTATACATTTTGATTCTTATTTACACTTTCAATTTGTGGATTTTGTTCAGGAGCTTAGAGATGTTGGAGAGTGCTGAACTGTATAGCAATGCACAAATGAGGGACGGTTATGAAAGTTATATAATGCTAACAATTCTGAGTTTTAAAATGCTGACAAACATGGTTACTCATAGTAAACTTCTTTTTTAACAAATTGTAACAAATGCCATATCTGTATTAATGTAATAAGGTTATTTTTGCAACTGAAAATTTATATTGCCTCAGGCAGATAGTTGTAACAAACTGAAAAAGAGAATCTTAGTTAACAGATAATAGCAGTAATGACAAATCTTTTTTTATATTATATCATGTCTTCATATTTTAATACATATTCTCATTATTTTGCCTGAGTATTCTTCTAATCAAAAAGGTAATTGATATAATTGCAATTTTAGAAATAAAAATACAATTATTATCATTTTTTCAAGTTACTCAGGCAGTTATCCATACAGGGTAGATAGATTATGCTTTGGGAAAAAGACTAATCATTTCTTCATCCATTTAAAAATAAGTATTTAATGAGCCAGGTATGCTCAAGTATGTCTGTGATCCCAGTAATCTGGGAAGCTGAGTCAGGAGGATCTTAAATTTGAGCCCAGCCTGGGCCATTTAGTGACTTAGTGAGATCATGTCTCAAATTTGAAAATTTAAGAATGTTGTGTAGGTCAATGTGGAGGCACTGGCTTTGATTCTAAGTTTCAGAAAAAAAAATTATCTACAGGTTCTCTATTAGTGCACTGGATACAAGTATGAAAACATATTATAAATAACAAATAAAATTAATAATTATTTTTACTACTGCAAAACACTCAAACAAAACCTATTAACTTGTGCAGTTCTAGAACTTAGAACAGTGCAGGCTATGTAGGTGATGTTCAAAAATAGTTTTATTCATCTATTCAAAACTATATACAGTAAGTCCCTGACTTCAGAACAAGTTCTTCTCCAGAAGAATGTTTGTAAGTCAAATGGATTCACCAGTCCAAGAAAGTGAGTCTTGTGCATCTTTGACACAGATATATAAAGTAAAGCATAGAAAAACAAACACACACAAAAATATAGTAACTACCTGACTATACCATACTACTGTACTACTCTACAGTCACACTGTACAGTAGGCACACAGCAGCATACTGTGACAATGCCTGGCAGACATGCGAGCTACTTCTATGATTTGTTTACATCTCCAAATATTGGTAATGTGAGAGCTGTTCCTATTTGTGAAAGCTTGCAACTCAATTGTTCGTAAGTCAAGGACTTACTCTAGAGTACTTTTCACATGTCAAAGATTGTTCTGGGCAATATACAAAACAATGAACCAACTGAGCAAAAATCCCTTTTTTAAGTGTATTTTGGGGAAAATTAGCAATGATTTGATTAAGAAGGAAATTCTATAGTATGTGGTATAGCTATAAATAGTAAGGAGAAAAATAAAGTGTATGAGAATACAGGAATATTTATAATTTTCAATAGATGGCCTACAGAAGTTTCTCTAAGAACAATGTATTGAAAAATTATTCATATAGATATTAGAGGATTTCTCAGGAAGAAGGGACAGCGTTAGTGAGGCCTAGAGGTATAAAGTCTCCTTGTTGGAGAAATAGCAAGGATAGTGGGGTTGGAACACAGTAAGCAAGAAGGGAGTCAAAGATGAGGTGAGAGTGTGACACCTGCTTTAATATGATAATAGTGCAGGACCTGTGGCATCCTACCAAGTCCAGCAGAAACACTGGGATGCCCGTCGGTGGACTGGCTCATGCCATGTGTTTATTATAAATAATCATGAAGGCTGGGGTAAGAGGAGTGGGAATATTCTTGGGGACATAGGTCTTAGTAAACCAGATACCACATGATCTGCATTGGAGTAACATTTTGCTCATATTATCAAAGAAAAGCTCAAATCAATTCAGAAAATCTAATAAACAATAACTGCTTACAACAGTTTCATAATGAAAATTATATCTAAGCTGAAAACCATGTAAGATTGTAGTGGGCATGAATAAAGAGCCAGAGAAAAAAGGAAGAGCTTTATTAGCCATATAAAGGAGTCTTAATTTTATTAAATATATATAAGAAACCATTGAGCATTTTTAACAAGAGAAAAGACATATATCAGGTTTTGAAAAGAGGTATGTGACAATATTAAAAATGGTTTTCTGTGAAGCCATGGCAGAGGTGTAAAAATCAGATTTTAGGCTACTAAAATAATTGGAAGTTGGAATGAGTAACAACAGTAGTATGGAATACAGGTGAATAGATTCGAGATGTATTTTGAAGACAGCATTCACCAGGTTTGAATCTTAGGAGAAAGAGTAGAGAGGAAATGTAGGAATGTGAGTGATCGATCATGCAAGGAGCTTCACAAATTTTGACACTAACATTTCTTAAACTGATGGGTATATATGCAAGTAATCATTATTTATTATATAATATTATTATTCATTATGACTCAAATACATCATATAATGTTTTATTTTATAATTTTTATAATATACATCATTCTATGCACAACATTAAGTTTTTTCTTCCCATTGTGGGCCTCAGGAGTATCATTACAGAAAATACCTCATCTCTCAAACTATAAATTACTGGAA